AGAGGAGTTATGTGCCACGTAACATGCTCAAACGTACATAATACAATATTTTGATGTTCATGTGGAACAGAGGTGATAACTACAAGTTCAGTTCGTCAAGTCAGCCCAATAAGTATTTATGGAAAGCAGATCTGTCTTGATGTCTTCAAAGGACAAAATATAAAAAAGTGAACGTAGAAACGCTAAGCTACTTTTCGCCCAAGTTTGTAAAGCATGACCAGAAATTAATGCGTCTCTCAGCTACGTGATTAATAGATCATCTACGAAAAGGGCGAAAATGACCACGTTAATAATACTTTGCCAACGTGGCTTCTACGGGGTCGCTCAGTCTATAAATTTTACTGAACATACTACTAACGATTCGATCTACGTTTAGCATATTATGATAGTACATCAGCGCAATTAATATGCTGAATAAATGCTGCAGAATCAGTCTTGACTTCATTGGAATAATTCTCCCTAAGAAATATTGTTTAATATCTAACAGTATGCTAGCAAATCCATAAGATCAGCCTTTATGTTTTTTGCACAAATATGCCTGCGGATCGTGAGGTATTTGCAGGTGTTCGAACAGGCCCCTGTTCGGCCTTGCCTAGTGATGCGGTTTTGCATCCATACATTGCAGAAGCTCGAATAACAATGAGTCTTGGCCTGCTGAAGTGGTCCCCTAGGCCACTAGGAGCAAGGAGACGGTGCATACGTCGCTTCAATCCGGTATCGAAAACTGAAAAGGATTATATATCTTTGCGGCGGTATCGAAAACTGGCAGTATGCTAATAAACCCATAAGACAGGATTTTATTTTTCTGCATTGAGATATTGTTTACTGTACGGCATTTGCGCTGAGTACAGATATTCAGTACGAAGATCAAGGCTTAGTGGTTGCGGGCGTAGTACTATCCGTCCTTCATACTGTATTGCGGGATTATGGACAATGACTTGTGAAAGAAAACAGGCGCAGAGTAAAAACCAATCAGGGCCAAGATGCACAAGGTACCTACCCTTCTAGTCAAGGAATCAGAGGTGGCTCCTCAACATCGAATGGCTGCTTCATCCCGTTACAAAAGAAATTTGCCATAACAGAATCGCAAATATGATATTCGGCTTATGGCCATAGGAAATCGGCTGTTGTCCGTATTTTGTCCCCAGAGAATAAGAGTAAGATTCAGCCGTGGCAGCACACAGAATATCTTAAAATCGAGTCGCATAAAGCGTTTCCAGTTAAATGGGTACAAAACTGATAGTTGAAATTAGAGGATGATTTCGGAGACGTTTATACCTGAAGACACAGATTAACAGATTAACGAACAAAAAAATCTGTAAAATTAATTCAGAATAGTTGCCTTTATTATTCGTGATACTTAACAACGAATCAACACACCCTTGATATTTCTTTTTCCAAGAAAGCTTATTTTGTAATTTGTGTTCCATTTTGATGTATCGTCTTTCTAACCTCCAGTCATTTATTAACTATGACACCTACCGAAACATAGCCGCAATGCCTGAGGTTCGCTAAGCAGTTCATTCAAATGAGGAAACAACACAATTATGAATCAGCCAAAAAAACGCCTTATCGCCTTGAAATGCAACGTTATTTTGACCCTGTCTCTCCGCGATCATAGCGGCTGCGCACTTGCTCATTCGGTCTTAATTTTTTTAAACTTTAATTTAAATTCAGTGCTTTTATCCTCTGGAAACTTTCCGTGGAAGTCACGTCAGATGCATCAGAAAGTTCAATTTAACATAGTTTGCTTTAGAACACGGTTTAAACGGCATTTACCTGTACAATGCTGACCGTTTCCTTTGAAGCCAGGCTTGCAGACACACTT